TCGTTTATCTTAATACTAATCGTGGCCATAGATAATAAACAAAATATATAATTAGTTTTAGTTGATTCTACAGACACCTAAAAGATTAACTTCCATTAACGGAAAACCACCAATTAATTACATTTAATCTTGCTGTACCAACTCGTCCACTACTGAGAGGTAACATTATAGTGTGTGGGTATGTGTGTGTGTAATGGTTAGCATGATCGTCTTGGAAATGAGTTGTCCCAGGTTCGATCCCCGGTCAGGGTGAAACCATTGGCAAGTTTTATTACGCCATTTGCCTCTGTATACCCAGCAGTAATTGGGATCCTGGATGTTCATTGATTTTGCAGATATTGGTCTGAGGATAATGATTAACCAGTGCAGTTAGCGAGTTGTCCGGTCTTCTTGGATCATTCCTTGACAGTCGGAGAGAGAGAGAGAGACTGTATACATCTACTTAGGAACAGTACATTACATACATCAAACAAGAGGGTCAGGGGTCTTAGAGGTCACTGGAGGTAAAGGAGTCTTAGAGGTCACTGGAGGTAAAGGAGTCTTGGAGGTCACTGGAGGTAGATGTTTCAAAAGTGGTGTTGGGTGATGGAGAGCTGGTGGGGATTAGGCTGAGCGGGTACCCTCCATTCATACTAAACTGCAAAAGGATGACCACATACGTCGCCACGAAGCTCCCCACCTGCAAGACAACACACACAGTTATCATTAGAATTTAACAGTCACCTATAATTTAAATATTCCAACGTCCTTTTATTTTCAACATTCGATTAATTAACCCAGTGACCAATCACCTCCCACTTTTGATATTCATGGTAGTTAATTGGTTGGTTTAATGTCACCTAGCAACCAGTAACCAATCAACTTCTATAAACTGTCTTGGTTGCTATGGACTTACAGTTAATAGGGGTTGATTTATACTATGATATGACGTAATTAATGAATAATGTTAAGAATTGTAACAAAATGACGTTATTATATGAAAATAAATGTATAATCAGGTGTTATGTTATGAATGAATGTTAGTAATACAGGTAGTGGGTAAACCGTCATATAATTACTGTGGTATTATAAGATATGGTGAATCGGTATGTGGTATTAGGATGAGGAAATGAGTATGATGAGTAAAGTATGATACAGTGAGCATTTTATGAGTTAGTGAGGAATTATGAGTAAGTAAGGTGGTTTACTCACAGCCACAAGACAGGTGTTATCGAGCGTGAAACAGCCGACTACCTTGGGTCCAGACGTCGCGTGCAGGTTACCCACCAACCACCAGCCCTGTGTATTAGGATATGTCAACTTAATACTAGTGTGTGTGTGTGTGTGTGTGTGTGTGTGTGTGTGTGTGTGTGTGTGTCATTGGATTTAAAGATCACAGTGTATTGCTAATTTATTTCGATGTGTTAGTGCAATTTCTATAAAGTTCTCTCTCTCTTACCCTGGCTAGTACATGGTCGTCTTCAACACGCAGAAGCTCGTCCTTTAACCAATTCACAGAGGCGTCCCGCTGATACGTGAAGGAGTAGTTTATCATCATTAATAATAATTATATCAGTCATCGTCATCGGGAAAATTATCATCATCATCATCATTAAAAAGCATCATGAATCATTATTATTATCATTATCATCCTCATCATCAGGAGAAAGCAGAAACTATAAGGAAGTTAATATTATCAGAATACAGAGACACACGTACTGCCTTCTGCATTGTCCAGCTCCCGTGAAGAATGAGCAGTAAGGTCATAGTGTTGGAGATGATGGTCAGACTACTGATAACGTGGGCGTCTTTCCAGGCGATGAGGAAGTAGGTGTTGGAGATTGAGGTGAGGATGATGTTTAGGAAGATGAAGATGAGAGGTGTCCCGAAGTACTCAAACAGGTGTTGTTCGAGTCTCTCCACCTGTCGACGAGATAATGTTTAAAGGGGTTCTATGTACAGACAACCAAACATGTATCTACCTCACCCTGGCTCTAAAATATAATCGAGTTTGTTTTAAAGCTAATATTAAGTTCACGTTCAGACACTTATGAAGTTAATATATATTTATCAATACACAAGGTAGATAATTATGTTTACAACACTCACCTGTCTCAGCATTGATTCAAAAGTCTTTAGTTGTGCCGCATTTATCCCACTTGTCCGGACCGCGTCTTGGAGCTTCCAGTCTTGTCCATGTGGGTTAGTTCTCAGGTGTGTGGCGCCCATGGTGGTGAGACACCGTGGGTCGTAATGACTTCTACTGGGATCTCTTGTGCCTGGGCCGTCTATGGAAGTACCGTCTACCGGAGATATACAGCAGATGGCGTGTGTCAGACGGTCACTGGGCTGTAGGTGCGTCGCTATAGTTCGTTGAGTTTCTGTGAGTGTGGTTGCGAGAGTCCTCATGAAGCACGTGAACAAACAGATGAACACGACACGCAGGAGGGAAGAAAGAAGCATTCGTAAAATTATCAAATATTCTGCAAAGTGCCACATTATAATCAGGTAGTAACTTCCTTCAACCAAAACAGAGATCACGGAGACAAATGCTAGAAGATCTGATTTCTCTATGGCTTTAAACATGATCCTCAACTTGTTAATATACCGCAGAGGTTGTTGGCTGCCTGCGAGTTGTAACTTGCGGCCACTACTCCGGAGGAAGATTTTCTGCACATCTGAAACGTTGTTGAGTAAATCTTGGAAAGAAGTGACGATCAGCGCGAGGAGGTCACTGTTGGTGGCCTGGTAGAAGAAGGCGCACATGTCTAGTATGATGCCCAGGTAGCTGACGAGGGCAGCGACTCCGATTGGTGAGGTATTGACGTATTTCCTTATCCAGAGAATGCAGTTAAACATCACCATGAAGATGTGTCCTCCCGCAAACAGCACAGACCACGCCAGCAGAGGCCACGCCCTCTTGAGAGCTACCGGAGTCTGATGGCCACATCTGACCACCGCCGCTCCTGCCCTGGTAACTCTTGTGAAAGGGAAACATCCCAAGAGGCGAAGAAGACACAGTAAAGTTGACAACCCTCTTGTCTGTACTGACTTACTCCTGTCTGTGTTCCGACGCTTCATCGTCTCGGTAGTAATGTCAGTCTTCTCAACCGTTCCTACTTGCGACACGAAGCGCCTGTCTTAAGAAAGTGTGTAGTCCGCACTAAGCTACTGTACAGTTTACTTCAGTAACATAAGCATTCCTTTTATGATCGAGCTATTAAGAAGTGGACACGGTAAGAACATCCTGATGGAGGCAGGTGACGTGTTCTCCCCCAGCACCACTACACCACGACTGATCACAACACCTAACAACGCTGACGTACTTATTGGGCAGACAAACGCGCCACACCCCACCAGTCTTCATCCAATTCCTTCCACAAACACACACACCATAAATTCAGATGACGTCGCCATTGTTAACACTCCTGTCCTCGTCTTCATCATCATTCATAGATTTTCTCTGGCCGTCAATGACGCGGAGTGGACTGAGGATATCGAAGTTGTTGTGGGCGCCACTTTATTTCTTGATTGACTTAAGTGATATACAGAGGAGGTTAGGGCGTTCCTGAAGGTGTTATCAGGTAGTAGTTGATTAGTAGTAGTTGAATGATGGTGCGCCAAGTCCGTAGACTTGCGATTGATATAGTGTTGTGAGTTGATTAGTAGTAGTTGAATAATGGTGCGTAAAGTCCGTAGACTTGCTATTAGTATAGTGTTATGTGTGTGTGTGTGTGTGTTCGCCCCGTTTATTATTACTGTATTATATTATTATTATTATTATTATTATTATTATTATTATTATTATTATTATTATTATTATTATTATTATTATTATTATTATTATTATTATTATTATTATTATTATTATTATTATTATTATTATTGTTGTTGTTGTGTTTTGCCTTATCGTTATTATACTACTATTATTATTACTAATAATAATAATAATAATAATAATAATAATAATAACAACTGATAGCAGCCATCACTGTTATGATCAAGAGGTCATTGGTGGCTTGTGTCCTCTGTGAGTGTTCAGTAAATATTGACATGATGAGCAGTTTCGTATGCTTGTTATGAACACAATTTGAATTTTCTATGAACCAATCAACTATTAGTAAAGAAAACGGGAGTGCTTACGGGCCAGGTTAGCGTGGAAATATTATAGTGTTGTCATGACCCGATAATCAATGTAACTTACCCTACCCTACCCTACCCTACCTTACCCTACCTTACCCTACCCTACCCTACCCTACCCTACCTTTCCGACCCCTACCTTACCCCACCCTACCCTACCCAACCTAACCTAACCTAACCAACCCTAACCCCTCCCCTACCCCCACCCCACCTACCCTACCTCCCTACTCCCACCTGGTCCCACCCCCCCCTCCTCCTACTACCCCCTACCCCTCCCCACCCCACCCCACATCCCCACCCCCCCACCCCCCCTACCCCTTCCCCTACCCCAACCCCTCCCCAACCCCACCCCACCCCACCCCTCCCCCCTACCCCATGCCCCTCCCCACCCCCCCCTCCCCAACCCCCCCACCCCACAACCCCATCCCACCCCAACCCCAACCCCCTAACCCCACCCCAACCCCACCCCAACCCCAACCCCACCCCAACCCCCCAACCCCAACCCCAACCCCAACCCCTATCCCAACCTCCAACCCCAACCCCAACCCCCCACCCCACCCCACCCAACCCCAACCCCTGCCCACCCCACCCCCCCCCCACCCTCCCCAACCCCCTAACCCCCTACCCCCCCTACCCCCCCCACCCCACCTACCCCTAACCCCACCTACCCCCCCCATCCTCAACCACCCCTACCCTACCCTACCCTACCCTACCCTACCCTACCCTACCCTACCCTACCCTACCCTACCCTACCCTAACTTGTATCTACATCCTTATCATTTATACTTAGTTGACATTTATTCGTATTTTATTTCTAGGATGAACATAGCATTGGTTACACTATACTTAACTCATTCCTACTTCTTTCTTTTTTTTTCTAGGATGAACGTAACCAGATACTGACTACGAACTGCTGGCTTAATCAAGTAAGTTAACCTATTTACACTGTTTTATATTATTTTATATTTACAGTAGGTATATATATTTCTTCTCGTCTCAAGAGTCTCCGAAAATTCCACCACAAGCGTCAACCTAACCTAACCTCTCCTCGCCCCCATGTGCTGATGCTGCTCAGGTCTCCAGCAACACCACACAACATCCATCTTACATCTCAAACATTTTACGAGATATTTAGAAAAAATCTGGGTTTTTTTAATATTCTTTGATAGCGGAGGATACATTAATGTTCAGAATATGCAAATTAGTTAATGATAGATACCCTGATTAAAACATGAAAGCATACTGTTTTTTATGGTAATTATTTATGGACACTCTGTATATGGAAGTAATTAAGTTTAGTTGTTTTGGTAATTAAGGTAAGGTAGTGTCACAGGTAGTGGTTTGTCTCGCTCAGTGGGTCATCAGTCACCTTGCGTGTGTTAAGTTAAGGAGTCGTTTCTTGGTTAAAGGGCTGGATCGCATTGGGTTAGACCATTGAGGGCTGGACCACTGAGGGCTTGACCACTGAGGGCTGGACCACTGAGGGCTGGACCACTGAGGGCTGGACCACTGAGGGCTGGACCACTGAGGGCTGGACCACTGAGGGCTGGACCACTGAGGGCTGGACCACTGAGGGCTGGACCACTGAGGGCTAGGTCATAACGTGGACATTAGTGGCGTTTTAGAGATTAGCTTTATGGCGTCTTGGTGAAGCTATTGCCACGTGACGCCCTTATAGAGGGAGGGAGAGGGAAACGGGGGAGGGTGGGAGGGAGAAGGGAAGAGAGAGGAGGATAAGAGAGCAAGGAGAAAGGAGGATGGAGTAAGAGTGAGAGAGAGAGAGAGAGAGAAAGAGAGAGAGAGAGAGAGAGAGAGAGAGAGAGAGAGAGAGAGAGAGAGAGAGAGAGAGAGAGAGTGTGGTGAAGGAGGAACAGGGGGAGAATGGAGGGAAGAGGGAGGGAGGGAGAGAGTAGACAGCTGCCCTCATCACAGACCTGGACACTCTCCCTCCCTCCTTAACCTCTCACATCTCCTCTCACCCTCCTTCTTACCCCCTCTCCAGTCTCCCCCTCCTACCTTAACCCCTTCAACTCTCTCCTCCTTCCTTCCTTACCCCCTCTCTTCTCCCCTCCCTCCTTCTTTAACCCCTTACCTCACCTCTCCTTCCCTCACCACTCACCTCTCCCTTCCCTCACCACTCACTCCTCCCCCCCCTCCCTCACCACCACCTCCCTCCTCACCACCACCTCCCCTTCCTTTCCTTCCCCAAGGAAGGTTGAACCTGCCAGTAGGGATGTTATACTTCTACAGGATAATACAGTATGTCGATATATTGGAGAGTATATTTGACCCCTTTGATATACCGCCCCTTGCCTATATCCACCAAGGATGACCTCTTATATGTAACGACCCTCCTTATCAAATTCCTTTATCTGTAACTGTTACTACTACGACAACAACGACAATTACGGTGACGACTACAACGACTACATCTTCTAGGGGTGTAGTACCAGCTCCCCTACACGCTCGACCATCAGTGAGGTCAGGTTATTAAGGTTGAGTTACATGCAGATAAATACTGTAGCTTCAGTATTCAAGAGCGAACCTGGATAATGTGGATGACTCAGGTGTGGGGAAGAAATGTGTATGTTGTTGTGACTCTTCCATCCTTCCTCCTTTCTCCTCCTCTCTATCATGTTCCTTCTTGCTCACGGCGTGAGATAAACGCCGGCATTTGTCCACCCCCCCTTCCTCCCCCGCGCCCTCCGTGAGTTTTTTACCGGTCACAGTTGTTGTCTCTCATGCTAATCTGAGTTGTTTTATGCATAATCTGAGTTGTTTTATAATACAGTCTCCCGGGGTATGGTCTTTATCGATCTGGCAGTGGGGAGAGACAAGGTTCAGGTGCCTTTCTGTGCGTTAATCTTACCGTTCATGTGTCAGTGCGTCTGTCCGTCCGTCTATTCAATACCGCATTGTGTTCATCCTTGGGTCTTTGCGTTGATGCGTCCGTTTATTCTTCAGTACATTTATTCCCTCCGTGCGTTTTTCTGTCTATGCGTCAATCCATTCAGATATGCATGCGTCCAGTATTTCCGTGGATTCGTTCATCCTGCCGTGCGTCTTGTGGAAACATTGTCTTCACTGAAATTTTTTAAACGACAGGGAAGAATGTCAAAGGACGACCCTGACAGTACAGTATATACACTTTAGCATTGTCTGTATACCATGACATCAGTACACAGGGAGGCAGCATATCTTACCACTATCCATCACCACAACCCATCACTAACCATCACCACAACCCATCACTAACCCATTACCACAACCCATCACTAACCCATCACCACAACCCATCACTAACCCATCACCACAACCCATCACTAACCCATCACCACAACCCATCACTAACCCATCACCACAACCCATCACTAACCCATCACCACAACCCATCACCTAACCCATCACCTGGCCCATCACTAACCCATCACCACAACCCATCACTAACCCATCACCACAACCCATCACTACTTATCACCTGACCCATCACTACCCATCTACAACCCATCATTGCCCATCACACACAACCCATCGTTACCCATCACCTGACCCATCTACCCATCACCACAGCCCATCATTACCCATCACTGACAAAATGCTAACCCCATCACCACAACCCATCCTACCCATCACCACAACCCATCACCTGACCCATCACCACAACCCATCCGCAACCCATCTTTCCCTGGCCATCATTGCTTATCACCACAATATCCTGCCCATCCACCACAACCCATCATTACCCATCCTGCAGCTATCACCCTAACCCATCACAACCCATCACTACCCATCCACAACCCATCACCTGACCCATCACCACAACCCATCACTAACCCATCACCACAACCCATCACTACACCATAACCACAACCCATCACTAACCCATACCACAACCCATCACTAACCCATCACCACAACCCATCACTAACCCATCACCACAACCCATCACTACCCATCACCACTACAACCCATCACTCACCACAACCCATCACTAACCCATCACCACAACCCATCACTAACCCATCACCACAACCCATCACTAACCCATCACCACAACCCATCACTAACCCATCACCACAACCCATCACTACCCATCACCACAACCCATCACCACTCATAACCATGGAAAAGCAACAATTACGGCGTTTTATACCTGAGAAATATATATAAAAGATAATAATAATTTTTTTCCTTGTGTTGCCAATCAAGCTAAGCGAGGACAGAGATGGGAAAACTTCAAAGAAAATGGGAGCAGATAAGAGGTAAACTTAAGAGTATATCGTGAGAGGGAGGAAGGACTCGATACAAGATGGTTTACAGCGGATGAGTTGAGGTTTTATCTGGAGTCTTGTAGCGCTGTGTGTGTGGTTTAGCGTGTTTTTTTTTTGTGGGGTTTATTTGTAGTTTGTAATGTGATTGATCATATTAACACAGTAGGAGTGATGATATTGATGTTATTGGATGAGTGAATGATGACGAAGAAAGAAAGAAAAAAAGAAGAAGGTGAAGAAATTGAAGAAGAAAATTGTAGTAAAAGAATAATAATAAGAAGAAAATTGAAGTAAAAGAATAATAATAAGAAGAAAATTGAAGTAAAAGAAGGAGAAGAAGTAATAATAACAACAATTTCATTACAGTTGAAGAGTATTACACTTCGAGATAACGTCAACAAAGTTTGGTGGCAGCCGTCCAATATTATCAACCCAAGAGTAACGTAGAACTAGATAGATATTTCATCATCTAAAGTCTTATGTAAAGTGACTTAATTCACTTAAAGGTCTTACTTGTTTAAACTCAGAGAAGTACATAGAGTTAATAACACCTAATTGGTTAAGGTTAAAAAAATATATGTGTGGTTAATTGTAATTTTTAAAAGATTGTTTATCTGTTTTTAGTGTGTTGTTAAATGGTGGAGTTGACAGGTCTCTCTCTCTCTCTCTCTCTCTCTCTCTCTCTCTCTCTCTCTCCCTCTCTCTCATTTCTTATGCCCCTTATCTTCCTGGTACCAAGACCCTTTGACTTATAGGATACACTCAATGTTTATAGCAACATTTAAGAAGTATTAGTTTTTGTGTTAGGAGAGAACTTTTTTTTTTATCTTATGAGGGGGGGAAAAGTTTGCTTGAGTCTTCCCAGGAAATAGAAAACGTAGCTTCATATTACTGTATATTATCTGTGTGTGTGTGTGTGTGTGTGTGTGTGCTTCGTTTATTCTCGCTCTCTCACACACACACACACACACACGCAAAGCCTCATATATTAACTAGGAACAATAAGAGGGGCTACAACACACGTTACTTTGCTGTATTATTGAACAAATACACCGAGTTACTTGTGATGTATTCAGCGTGGATCAACAACACCGACATTGCTGGTTTAATTTTCCGTAATAAATTGTACATAATAAATAATTAACAAATAATGTATTTAATTTTGGACAATATTAACTTGGATTAGTGTATTAACTTCCTGTGATTAATTTAGTGAAGAAAATGAATTAGCTGTAATATATTGAAATTAACTTTGAGCATATATAATTAAATGACTTTGGCACACAACTAATTTGCTTAAGTAACAAATTTACAATAACACTTCATATCATACATTAAGCTGACTTTACACAATACATTTCCTAGAATATATTTAAAATAAACTTAGTAGACTTTATCCTCTAGCATACATTACAATTAAGTTTGGACAGTAGTCTTGGCCAGGGGGTTGGGGGGGGGGTGGTCCAAAGAACACGCTGAACTTAGGGCCTAGGATTAACGAGCATCATACAGTGTAACAACAAAGCCTGTACATTAACTGCTTAACTTAGGCCGTAACGACTCTGATTTGATTTGGCAAGTTGAGATGTAGCGAGCCCGGGAGAGTCAATACTGCTGACTAAGTTCTACCATAACTGTGAGGCTTAAATTCTCTT